ATTCTTGCAAGGCATCGTATACTGTACGATTTGATCGGAATAAGAAAATGTGGGTTGTTTCTAAGTTTGAGAGGAAGCACTCACATCGTTGCTGCAATGAAGAAGAAACTCAATTCCTTCGGTCTCATCGAAATGTGAGTGAAGGAGACAAGGCTCTGGCGATAGGGATGCGACAGTCAGGAATAAAACAACGCAACATTGTTCAGTTCATGAAGAATAAAGTTGGAGGATATGAGAATCTGGGGTACACTCCAAAGGATTTGGACAATGCTGTTCAGCAATCCCGAACAGTTGACGACGATCTAATAGGAGATGTTAACCGAACATTGGGTTACTTACAAAGTAAACATAGCTCTGATGCGGGCAGCTTCTTCAAGTACACAACCAACGATGAAGGTGAATTAGGCAATCTCTTTTGGTCGGACTCCACATCTAGAGCAGATTACCATTTTTTTGGGGATGTCTTGGCGTTCGATGCATGCTACAAGCGCAACAGGTACAATCGACCATTTGTTATGATGGTTGGTGTAAATCACCACCACCGTAACATCATATATGGTTTTGCCCAGTTGGATAACGAGACAATCCCCAACTATGTTTGGTTGTTGAATACTTTTCTGGAGTGTATGAACTCTAAGATGCCCACTTCAGTGATCACAGACGGAGACAAGTCTATGCGTGGTGCCATTGCTACTGTTCTGGTTGGAGTGCCTCACCGTCTTTGTATTTGGCATATTGAGACAAATGCGACAACAGCCGTTCATAATAAGGAGTTCGTTAGCGCATTCACTTACTTGGGCGAAAGCACGAATATCGATTGAGGAGTTTGAGAGGCGTTGGGAGCTTTTGATTAGTCAGCATGGCTTGTCTGCAAATAAGTGGTTGCAGGATTTGTACGCTGACAAATTACTGTGGGCAGAGGCATACTTGAAGGATATTTATTTCGGTGGACTCCAATCAACCTCGCGATGTGAGTCATGTAACCATTGGATAAATGGGTATGTGGGAACTCAATACAGCTTGCAACGTTTTGTTCAGGGCATTGATGAAGCACTGGAGGGGGATGCGTTTCACGGAGACGCAGGATGATTATTCTTCTAGGCACACGAGGTTGGTCTGCAAGCATGCCCTGCGCACTTGGGAAATGCAAGCTGAAAGTATCTACACTCATCGTACATTTGCTATCTTCAAGACTGAACTAGAGAATGAAGCTTCTTATGTATTAGCGGAGAGAAGAAATGAATCAGATGGGACAGAGACATTCATACTGAAGAACTACATGAACCCAGATCGGATAAGGCGGTTAACATTTACTACGTCCACTCAAGATCTCAAATGCGAGTGTGCATTATTTGAATCTAAGGGGTTTCCATGCAGACACATGCTTACAGTAATAAAAAATATGGGATACACCGCACTACCCTCGACTTGGTTCAAGCTTCGCTGGACCCAAAATGCGAAGACACTAAATCGTCATCCTGGAGTTGGAGGTGATGTGGGAGAGAGAGTTGGTCGACTGATAAGACATGGAGGATTGGCTCTAAAGTGTAAGCGTTTATGTGACATCGCGTGGGTAGTGAATCTGCTTTTAATCATGTCTCTAAGACGTTGGACGACCTTACTCAATGGGGCAATTGAGTTCGCGAAGGAGAGAGAAGACAACACCACACCGGCAAACCCTCCAGCACCCCTTCGAAGTGTGAAAGATCCAAAAATTGGGAAGACCAAGGGGACATTCAAGTCAGCACGAACTGCATTCGGGCAAAAGTTTGAGAAAAGTGTTCGAAATGTGGGAAAATATGGTCATTTTCGCCCCAAGTGCCCGAAACAAAGTCCCAAAAAAGGATCTTAAATTTCTTCTATTTTTTTTAGGAGTTGTTTTATTTTTTAATAACTGTGATTGCATTGTATTATCTTCGAATTATCTTACTAATGTATGAGTTAATTGATTGTGGGTTGAAATAAAGTCATAAACGGTCGACCTCATAAAAGTGCCGGTTGACCGGACCAAAGGAGGTCGACCGTACACATTAGCGCGGTCGACCGCGCATTGAATACGGCCGACCAAACCGGTTGACCTGACCAGACCACCCACCCAAACCTCCCTTCATCCTCTATTTAAGAAAACCCTCCCCCACTCATTCTACACCACAATCAGAACCCTATCCCCCCCACATCCACTCATTCTTCCTCTCCTTTCCCTTCTTCATCTTCTTCTCCCATTTCCAAAAACACCATTTTCCAAAAACTCTTGAAAACCTTCATCCTCATCACTAGAAGAACAACAAGGTAATGCTTTTCACTCTTCTTTTTCATTTGGGTTGATTCTTGTCTTCTTCCTTTTGTTTTCAAAAAATCTAAAGATGGAAAAAGAGGGGTTTTTGCTTCTGTTCGTCAGAAGCGGTCGACCTGTTCATCATCGTGGTCGACCGCAACTGACTTGTAATCTAGTTTCCTTTCTGTTTTATGGACTGAGGTCGACCTATGATGATTTTGAGGTCGACCTGTGATGTCTTTCTATTATTTCTGGCCGTGTTTTGTAGATCTGTAGCTTGAAAAAGAGGGATTTTTCCTTCTGTACGCCAGGTGCGGTCGACCTTCTCAAATTCGTGGTCGACCGCATCTAGCTTTCATTCCGCTTTTCCTTTCTGTTTTATGGACTGAGGTCGACCTATGATGATTTTGAGGTCGACCTGTGATGTCTTTCTATTATTTCTGGCCGTGTTTTGTAGATATGTAGCTTGAAAAAGAGGGATTTTCACTTTTGTACGCCACGTGCGGTCGACCTTCCCATGTTCGTGGTCGACCGCATCTGGCTTTCATTCCGCTTTTCCTTTCTGTTTTATGGACTGAGGTCGACCTCTTTAGATTATGAGGTCGACCTGTGAAGTTTTGCACTCAATTGGTACCATCATTTGGGGCATTTTATGCTCGTTTTCATTTAGCCGAGGTCGACCTATGATGGTTCTGAGGTCGACCTATGAGGGCAAAAGTGCGAGTTATTGTCTCATTGTATTTCAAATTGTGTGAAACTACCACTGGTCGACCTCTTCAGATTATGAGGTCGACCGGATCTGTTTTGCACTCAATTGGTACCATCATTTGGGCCATTTTATGCTCGTTTTAATTTAGCCGAGGTCGACCTATGATGGTTCTGAGGTCGACCTATGAAGGCAAAAGTGAGAGTTATTGTCTCATTGTATTTCAAATTGTGTGAAACTACCACTGGTCGACCTCTTCAGATTATGAGGTCGACCGGATCTGTTTTGCACTCAATTGGTACCATCATTTGGGCCATTTTATGCTCGTTTTCATTTAGCCGAGGTCGACCTATGATGGTTCTGAGGTCGACCTATGAGGGCAAAAGTGCGAGTTATTGTCTCATTGTATTTCAAATTGTGCGAAACTACCACTGGTCGACCTCTTCAGATTATGAGGTCGACCGGATCTGTTTTGCACTCAATTGGTACCATCATTTAAGGCATTTTATGCTCGTTTTCATTTAGCCGAGGTCGACCTATGATGGTTCTGAGGTCGACCTATGAGGGCAAAAGTGCGAGTTATTGTCTCATTGTATTTCAAATTGTGTGAAACTACCACTGGTCGACCTCTTCAGATTATGAGGTCGACCGGATCTGTTTTGCACTCAATTGGTACCATCATTTGGGCCATTTTATGCTCGTTTTAATTTAGCCGAGGTCGACCTATGATGGTTCTGAGGTCGACCTATGAAGGCAAAAGTGAGAGTTATTGTCTCATTGTATTTCAAATTGTGTGAAACTACCACTGGTCGACCTCTTCAGATTATGAGGTCGACCGGATCTGTTTTGCACTCAATTGGTACCATCATTTGGGCCATTTTATGCTCGTTTTCATTTAGCCGAGGTCGACCTATGATGGTTCTGAGGTCGACCTATGAGGGCAAAAGTGCGAGTTATTGTCTCATTGTATTTCAAATTGTGCGAAACTACCACTGGTCGACCTCTTCAGATTATGAGGTCGACCGGATCTGTTTTGCACTCAATTGGTACCATCATTTGGGCCATTTTATGCTCGTTTTCATTTAGCCGAGGTCGACCTATGATGGTTTTGAGGTCGACCTATGAGGGCAAAAGTGCGAGTTATTGTCTCATTGTATTTCAAATTGTGCGAAACTACCACTGGTCGACCTCTTCAGATTATGAGGTCGACCGGATCTGTTTTGCACTCAATTGGTACCATCATTTGGGCCATTTTATGCTCGTTTTAATTTAGCCGAGGTCGACCTATGATGGTTCTGAGGTCGACCTATGAAGGCAAAAGTGAGAGTTATTGTCTCATTGTATTTCAAATTGTGTGAAACTACCACTGGTCGACCTCTTCAGATTATGAGGTCGACCGGATCTGTTTTGCACTCAATTGGTACCATCATTTGGGCCATTTTATGCTCGTTTTCATTTAGCCGAGGTCGACCTATGATGGTTCTGAGGTCGACCTATGAAGGCAATTTTGTATTTGAATTGTTACGGGTTTATATCGACCCATTCTCGTTTTAAATTAGCTGAGGTCGACCTATGCTTCTTCTGAGGTCGACCTGTTCTCGTTTTAAACTAACTGAGGTCGACCTGTGTTTCTTCTGAGGTCGACCCATTCTCGTTTTAAATTAATTATGGTCGACCGCTTTATGGAGTGGTCGACCGCGTATTGTTCATTTCGAAAATTGGACTAATGTGTATTCTTGCTTCTTTGATCGCAGGATGTTTGGCGGCAAAAAGAAAAGAAAGACACAAAAAGCTGCTGCTTCAAGTTCGGAATGGGAAGAGTTCAATTCGAATTTGTTCCAGTCGAAGGAGCAAAGTGAGAACTACGAAGAGAAGAGTATGCACAACCGGAGGGTGGTTCCGGGAAGGCCATTGACGACGGATGCGTATTCTCATTTCGAGAATTACGGGTTTCTGGGACCCTTCGTCGATCAGGAGTGGTTGAAGGTGATATCACTCAATGTACCATACTACCCAAAAATGGTACAATACTTCTACAACAACATCTCCTACGAGCGCAATGCAATCTCTCATTTCCCCCTCTTATTTCTGACTGGATCTTCTCTGCAGGTTGAAACTTTTTGGGTCTGCTATTGCCACTTGGCTCGCCCCTCATCTCTGCCAAGCCCTACGGATCTGCATCTTTTCAAGGAGGGTATTCGCCCTTTGTGGGAGGTAAAGCTTCAATCCAAGATCCGCTAGTAGCATAAGCCATTGTGTGATCTAAGTTCATTGTTTCATCACCTGGTTTTGTGAAATTGATAACAGGACAGTGCCAATTCCAGTGGTGGAAAATGGATAATACGATTCAAGAAGGTTGTCTCGGGACGCTTCTGGGAGGATCTGGTAAGAGCAAAATTTTCAGGATCCTTGTATTATGGTCAAGCAAAGCATGCATCATCCTATATACCATTGGTAGTTGTGCTAGAAATTGTCTTTTGGCCATTTAAAACCTGTGGACTTGTTCATGTTGTCATTTTCGTTTCCTCATTATAGGTTGTGGATGGTGAAATTTTGTCACGTATTTTAATCGGGTAAATGACATATTTGGTCACTGAGATTACTAAATCGTGTCATATTTGGTCACTAGAAAAGTTTAATATCATATTTGGTCACTCTTCTATAGCCTCTGTCCAACTCCGGTCACTCGAATTATTGAAAAATGTCACATTTAGTCACTCGGATTACTGAAACATGTCACATTTAGTCACTCTCCCAAAAGTTTCCGTCCAACTACATTAATGGAGTTGGACGGAAACTGACGGGAGAGTGACTAAATTTGACCAGTTTCGGTAATTCGAGTGACCAAAATTGATATTAATTTTTTCTAGTGACTATACATGACACAATTTAGTAATCTCAGTGACCAAATGTGTCATTTACCCTATTTTAATCCCACTGTCGCTTCAAACACTTTGGCCATTAATAACTCATCTCCGAGTCTCAACTTCTGCATTCAGGTTCTTGCCTTGGTAGGCGACCAACTTGAGTACAGCGATAGCATTTGTGGTGCAGTATTAAGCATCCGATTCAATGAAGATATACTGAGTGTATGGAATCGGAATGCATCTGATCATCAGGTCATTAACAATTCCTCCCCTTTCGTTTATCTTTTTCTTTCATCTCTTGCTACATTTGAGCCATTGCAGGAGTCCCCACTTTTATGGGAGCGAAAGAGGTTACACTACTTGTGCCCTAACTGTGGTTGTTTGGCTACGATCTTAGGCTGTGATGTCTCTTAGAGACTCAATCAAGAGGCATTTGAAGCTTCCTCACAGCTACGTTATGGAGTACAAGCCCCATGATGCTTCTCTTCGCGACAACTCATCTTACAGAAACACATGGTTGAGCAGATAGCTTGTGTTACTAAGATTTTTTTAATGCCAACAAGGGAAAGAAATGTGCGGAGGACCTATCGCTCATTGTCATGTTTTATACTCCACTTGCCAAACATGGCCGAAGGATCTATCGACTTTGTACTGCGAAACAACCTTTCTAGGGTTGTCTTGATCTTCTTGCAGGTTGAACAGTAAACAACAATGACTGGTTTTGTTGTCCGTTAAACGTTGGTGTTTATGGAAATGGATGTTCCTCTCTGGATTATGATTTATCATATTCGTATGTATGTGCACTGATTCAGGCTGGTTAATGCCTCTAGCCAATTACATGCTTGCAACAGTTGAAGTGTAATGATCGTACATCTGTAATGCATTGTATGTCCCATAATAGGTCTCAGTCTTCTACGACCTTTATAGAATTGACATATCTAGCAAGCTTATACATGAAGTTGTAAAATCATATAGGGCCAGATCAAGGTCCCAACACTCATTTTTGCTGTGTTAATATCACACATTTCATTCCAGAGGAAGTTTGTTGTTGCAGCAGCTTCTCCCTTTGGTACTTTCACGTCGCGTAGAGTCGGATCTATACAGAAGATTGAAGCCCGATGATGCCTGCCACGGATTCAAACATAACACAGATGTTAGTCTTTTGCATACAGGAGTGCTAAAATTCATATGAAAGTAATGGACAAAAATTGCAGCCGTCAACTCCACGGTTTAGAGAGAAGCATGTGAGGTATACCACAACCAACTCTTGCACCAGCATTTCCAGTAGCCTTGCTAAGCTCATGTCCACCTGCATATTATCCATTCGTCCAGATACAAAGTTAACCGCTTTAATGCAATTGGCCAAAACCATTCACTTCCCCAAATACAAAAGTAAAGAGCTTTATGCAATGCAGTGAGTGTTCTCCACCAAAAGCATATCTAAATTAGAAAAAGCTCCAAACTTTGGAGCGGTTTGGATTTCCTGATTTTGCATCCAAAGCTGAGAATCCTTACCTTTTCCCAGATCGTCAGGATCAGCATGCACAACAACAGCCCTCCCTAATATCGAATTCGGCCCAGCCAGTGGTATCTGCAAAAGTCCAGAATCACCAGTGACTCCAGCTATTCAAACAAATACGCCTTCTCGATACCAATCCAGATTGCAGATACTAGGAGGAATAGAGGATGCGGCAATTTTGAAATACCTGGGTGTCTTCGATTGAAATTTCAGCAACTCCTGCACACAGAAAGGAGAAGTTCAAAACTAGGAGAGATAGAGAGGGGCTAGAAAACTTTAGCCACAGGTTAGTAGAACTCACGTTCTTTAAACCAGAAAACCCCAAATCATACCATTTTCATTAGCCAGGATGTTCCCCAGATCACCAGCATGACGTTCATGGTCCCATGGAGATCCATGGCTCTTCTTTAATGGATTGAAGTGAGGTCCTAATCCAACCCAAATCATCGCAAAACCAAACCTTAGGGAACAATCACTGAATCCAGCAAAACAGAATACCATCCGCACGCAGGCGGAAATATTCTTGTTTGGGATGAAACTTTTCTACTTTGTTTTCATCAAATCCTTACTTACCAGTCGAATTGCAGCCATTGGTGGTGTCCCCGAGAGCGTGGATATGGAAGCCATGGAAGCCAGGAGATAGTCCTGTTATCTTCCCAGCCACAAGGGTAGCACCTGAAAGTGAAAAAACGGAAGAAATCTACTTTTCATTTTTCCCGTTCAAAGCTGTAGTATTAATGATTGAAGCAATAGGAGAAACTAATTCACCAGTGGGTTGTTGGATAAACTGAATAAAGCCTCTAACTTTAGTGTCTCCGGCGATGATAGCCACGGCTTTCGCCCCTGTCGCCGTCCCTCCGCCGGTTCCAGCTCCTGCTGCCATTGCTTTTGTCTCTGCTCTTTTCTTTATCCGTTTTGCTCCTCTGCCACACTCCTTTCTCAGTTTTATTAAGAAGAAGTGTGTACGGTGTATCAACAGGCCGGGTGGGCCGGATATTTGGTTCGGGCTGGGCCCAGCTGGATCACCAAAAGTGTACGTTGGCAATCCAGGTGGCGAGGAGTTCAGCTGTAGGTATCCACGGTGGACAGACCAATTTCAACCGAAACAAAATCCTAATCCAGGCCTAGGAGCATTTTAAATCACCTCTCTGTAATATGAGACTGTGTGGATGAGAAAGTTACAAACCTATTTCAAATGTTATGTACTTGAGGGGTGTTTGGTTTTGGTAATACTTAAATCAATGTATTGTGGTCAATGCATGCAATGTAATATACATACAATTAAAGAAAATGATGTAATCTACTTTACATTGTTTGGTTTGTGGTGATAGTTTTTTTAGTATTCAACATGTTATTTTACTTTTTGTGAGAAATGTCACTTTTACCCTTACTTTTATGAGAACACATATATATAACTAGGAGTATACTTGGAACAAAAAAAGAACCCAACAATCTCCTCAAAACAATCTCAACAATCTCAAGTTTTAGTAGAGATAGTACTATCACTCATTTTGAGTGATAATTTCCATCACATCAAGCAAACAATGCATGCATTGTTTATGCAGAAAATTCTAAAAAAACGATGCATTGTGGACAATACATGCATTGTAACTATCCCAACCAAACTATCGCCAAAACCAAATGACCCCTGAAATACAAGTAATTACAATTTGTTGTTTGAATGCTCATTTGTAATTTATTGTTATTTTAAATTTATGGTTTTATTTTATTTTTCAATTTTAATGTCACATACTACAATTTCCGAAAAATTATATTTTGATACTCAAATTTATTTTTCCTTGCAATTTAGTACCTACTTTTACGAATAGGTTCATAAATTTTGATTGTAGATTAGGAAAATTTGCATGGTCACAAACTATAAAACATAGACATTTACATACCGTTTGGTATAAATGAACTCCATAAGTTTTGAGTAATTCATTTTGAAATAAAATATTTTTGTGTTTGGTATTAATAAGAATTCATTTTTAATTCTAAATTTTGAATTCTATGAAATTGAAACTAGTTATAGCAATTCCCCTTCCAAATGAATTCCACAAGTATTTACTAATTATAATAGAATGACATGATTATCCTCTTTTATTAAAAAATTACTTATGCATATGACATACCAAACACATGAATTCTACACAATAATTCATTTTACAATGAAACAATAGTTCATCTTACAATGAAATGAATTCTCGATTCATTTTGTACAAAACGATCTCTTTGTTTCCATTTTGTAAAAAACGTAAGTGTTGGTAGATATTCGTTTTACTTTTCAACCAAATCGAACCCACAAAACGTCGGTACCTATCACTATTTGTTTCCAGCTCCAGCTTGGAAGTACAGGATGTTCAGTGCCCTCGATGGGATATAAATCTCACAACCACTCTTCAGGAACCAAGAACTGATGATGCTCTGCGACTGACTTGGTGCAGCTGCTGTCCATTTATCCACCAATTTGAACCCGAATCGAGATGCAGCCAGAATTATAGATGGCTCATCAACTCGGCGTACGACATGACAGAGGATGAGTGCTGCAGGTTCCTTCTTCTCTCCATCCCTGCTGGGTGCAGCTAATTCCTTTGCAGTTGCAAACAAAGGCAAAATAGCATCAGAAGCATATGTTACATCTGTGCCTAAAATGACATCAAAGCCGCCAGCATTGAGTTCCTTAACGGCATCCGTGTCTTCTTTATTTCCCCACTCAAGTTTCATTGTAATCAACATAGAAATAAATGGTTCGCTAAGGTTAGAAGCGACATTCTGCACCAGCAGATCGAGTGATTTTGCATCTCCATCAGTTGCAACAACGAGGTCGGCTCGCTGAACAGCAGCCATCGAGCATATCCCGGCACACCCACTACCCAACTCCAGCACCTTTTTCCCAGCGACAATGGATGGGTTCCCGGCAATAATGGATGACATCAAACGAGCAGACTCCCACAGCATCAGGCCAGTTGACCTACAGGTGTGCTGGTACTCTTTGGAGAGTAAGTTGATTCTCAGATTCTGATCTCCAACTCTCACCTCAACTGTCTTCGAACAAAGAAAAGCTTTCAGTAGATTATTGTGAAGAAAACTTATGGATCAGTAGGCCCGCGGACTAACCAATTTGCATTATAGACAAGCAGCTCATAGACAACAAACAACAAAGACAAACCAATTGCTACCACATCAACTTAACCTATTTTGACATATCACTAGATTCAGTTATTAAAACAGACCATCAAAGACAAGTACCTCATCATACTTAGAAGGTAGCATTCCGAACATTTCTGCTGCCAACCCTTGTGATATGTCAACTTCCTCATCTGTCGCACTTTCTTTGACCAGCGAGTTGTTATTTCCTATGCCAAGGTGGTCATTGTTCATTGAAGCTTTGCCAGAGGAATTAGAACAATTTGCAAACTGGAATACAGCCTGGATCCAACGTCTGTGATTGAAACAAATAAAAGCAATAATTGGTGTTGAAGTTGTTTTTTCGGAATAACACAACACTGTATACCAAGAACAACAGTTTTGTCACTTCCCTACTAATTACAGTTGCCATTGTTGTGTACCTGTTCATCACTAATTCACGTGAACGATTCTCTACTTGTTTGCAATACACATCAAGCTCTTCTACCCTGAATCCACTTTCTTCAAACAAACTTTTCAAGTAATCATTTGAAAAGTAGTAAGCACGCTGAAAAAATGACAGATGGATGCCTAGTGAGCAAGTGAAATAAGAATGGCAGAAAACAGAGAGAGAAGGACAGAGATGCTAGTAAGCTCACAGTGCCATCGCCTCTAACATAAAAATTATCACTAATCTGTTGATCCTTTGAAGAGAACCGTTCCTAGTAAACAAAAGCAGGGATGGAAGAAGAGGAAGATTGGTAAATAAGAAAAAGGAAAATAAAAGAGCAGGCAGAAATTCATGGAGTATGAATGATGAGAAACCAATTGCTAAGAGGAGACTGAGATACGAATGGTACGAAGGAAATGGAAGAGCAGTATCAACCTGAGCAAGATCCCCAGTTGCGTAGTCACGAAGCAGCACATGACCATTTGGCTGGAGAAAATGATAAACATCAGACTGAAATCACAACTAAGATCCAAGGTTGGTAAATCAAACTTCAATTATAGATCACCTTTAGAACTTTCTTAATGTTCTGAAGAACAAGAGGCATTTTCTCAGGTGACACTGCAGATAGTACAAAAATCTGTTTAAAATGTTAGATGGTTACAAAGGAAAATGGACAATGGACTAAGAACAAATCCCGAAAAAACAGAAGACAGAGAACTGAGGATATCTGTGGAATAAAAACTCAACACATTTTACAAAGTCTATAACAGCAAAGTTTGAGAAACCCTTGGCACTATTATATAGTAACTTCACTTCCAGTACCATTGTGACAACGTCAACTGAAGATGGAGATATTTCCTTGCTTAAATCATCAGCAGTAAGGTCACACACAAATGCACCAACACGTGTCTCAGTGTAGTCCTTATGTGCCTGCAACAATAAAATACTACCATCATTAATTCATTATCAGCGGTGCAAAAAAATATTTGACCAAAATTCACTACCATCTAAGCATCAAATCCAAATGCATAACTCAGCTTTGATTGACAGAAACTTGTAATAAAAAGGCAAATGAGAACAACATACTCCACCTTGACCAAGTTGATAGCACGGGGTGAAAAGTCACATCCATGAACAAAAACTTCTGGATAAGTAGCAATAAGAGGAAAGATGGTGTTCCCAGCTCCACATCCAACCTGCACATCAGGGTATGTGAGATGCAACTAATTAAAGTATCCATAACCAGTTGAGGGAGATATCAAGTACCTCTAGAATGACTTTCCGGCCAGGACCCTGCACACAAATTACAATACGTATTAACAATTCCACATAATCATCAAACGCATAAAAATGTACTTTCAGATAATTGACTCACGCTGATGTAGCCATTCCATTCCTTATCCAAGTAATGCCGATCTTTGAAAAACTGACACACACACAAAAAAAAACGACACAAAGAAGAGTCGGGATACATGAAAGGAAAGAAATCACAAACTCACAAAGCACAGAAATTTCATCATTTGAATTAAAAAATAACACAGAAATGCAGCGACAGGAAATAAATAACCAGATTGAGCTTTGCCTGAGTTCACAGAGTATGAGCTTTATGGAAAGATCGATACTTACTCTGTCTTCGTGTCGCTTATAGAATACATCCCAATACTTCTTCGCATCCCTTTCGTACTTGTCTGCCAAAGAACCAATGTTGCCAGTCAGAAGTGATGTAAAATATAAAGGGCAACAAAATAGAAGAGGGGGTATCACAAGAGAAGGTAAAACCTCTCCAGAAAGAATTGACTCCAGTGCTGGAAGTAGAGTATATTTGCAGCTTCTGGGGAGATTTTTGCTGCTCCACAGGGTCTGAACCATTGGAAGCCATAGCAGGAGATTTCTATAGACAGAAGCTATATAAAGTTATCTACTTTTTCCATCACTGACTTGGGCGTTGTATTAATTATTGACTACAAATTCATGAAATTGCCGGTGATTAACATATGAGCACTATTCATTCAACCAACCGACTTCAAAATAAGCTCTCAGGGAACAAGAGAAAGAAACAACTATTTCAACCCTAAAAACAGAACATCCGGCAGTCAGTCTGAGTCAATTATCTGGAAGCTGGAAAAGGAAAAAAAGCATACTCTCCCTCTGCAAGCAGCAACCCAGAAATTGGTAAATGTAGTAGGGCCTGTGATCACAGACAAACCGTAGGCAATGGGATGGCAATGCCGGGTCAAATACCCTCACCCACCGGCTACGACCCGCCAAATAACCGGGTCAAAAACCCGCCGGGAAACCCATACCCTACCCAGCGGGTAATTCAATATCGAACAGAAAAGAAAAAGACAAAAAAACTGGATGGATGATTTTCCAATTCAAACAAACGACTATGGTTCCACCGACATTTTCAATATCGAATCTAAGCCTAACAAAACTATTTTCAATTGGAATTGATAGATAAACGAAACGAGTACCGGTAATTTTTTTTTTAAACTCACATATCTGGATGGCAAAGCCGACGAATGGATCGACTGGGAGAGAAATCGGTAGTTGAAGCGGGAGACGAACTGAAGTCGGAACTTTGGGTGGGCCGGAGATGGAGTTTGGCAGCGCCGAACAGGAGAGGGCGGCGGAGACGGATTGAAGACTAGTAGACTAAGCGGTGGAGCTGAGTGTGGATGGAGAAGGGGGAGTCGACTTGGGATTATCATACTTTATTTCTTCCTTTTTCTGATAATCAGACCTGTTTGTTTCGTTGATTTAAGAGTTTTGGGCCAGAAAGAGGCCTGCAGAAGTATTAGAGACGAGGGTACCGAGACCATTCCATAAGTGTGTCCAACGGGCCCACAGTTGAGCCACAGAATTCTGGCACCTAACCACCAAAGTCCAAACGCCGGAGCGCGGAGTAAGTTCAAGTGAGTAATCATCTACAAAATATATAAAGAAAAAATATGGTTGGAATTCTCCTATTTTAAATTTTGTGATTTGAGAGTGATTTTGGAAAGGTAATTTTTGTCATTGCATTCAGTTCATGTTTATATATTATAAATGTTGTCTTTAGAGTTCGAACTTTGGTCATTTGAATGAAGAAAGAACATTATAATCAACTAGGCTACATTTTATTTTGTTATTTCTTTGATTGAACTCTAGGGATATATGTTTGGTGATGATACTTCTATATTTATATTTATCTTAAGTTATTTATATTTTATAGAAATATACTAGTTCTGAAATCGGAACTCAAGTAGTATTGATCCAAACACTAATATTAAATTGTATGTGTTGTTTAGTTCAGATAAAATAAAGAAGCATAACCAAAACATGGACCTTTGTGACGAGTATAATCATTTTTATACTTCATATGAAAAAGTATCAATATCAAAATTTGAACCATGATCTCTTCAAACAAAAACAATAATCACAACCAATTACACTAAACAAATTTGTTTTATCTTCATAAATTGTAGACATGCATTAAGCCAAGATTTGAAAAGCAGAGGACTTTTCACGATTAGCTATCCTATTAAATCTTCTGAAAAGCAAAGTTTAATACATGATTTATTATTTTTATAACCTATAAAATGACGGGTAATCTTAAAATTGCAACACAAATTTCATTGTTTGAAATATTGCATATCGAACTACAGTATTGAATATGCAAAAGTGATGCAAAATTCTTTGAATTAATATGAATTTTCAGAATTAATACGAATAATAATATTTTGTACAAACTATAGGTGTCTGGTTCTCTAAAATTTTAGTCTGGTTAACTGCTAAACGTTAAACTCTTGCTAATCGGGCATGAATGGACCCGACAATAATGAGACGATATCGAGTTTAATGTGATGTTCATTTCGTCAGATGGATAGGATGTGTTGATCAATTTATAGGGCATTAACATATAAATGAGTTATAATTAACCTCATTATACAATTTTTACTCTTTCTAATGCTTAATTTAATCTTAATATTGTGATGTTTGAAACATTTTATATATGATTTAGAGGTATAATTATTATTCATGACATCAGTTGTAGTTTATTCAAATGTAGTATTTCATCAGGCTAAAGATTGCATATTGAATGGGAATATTGAACATTATTGAAGCGATATATAATTCTTAATTTAGTATTAATTTTTAGTCTGGTTGACCAATAGCCTTAGACCTTTCGCTAATCTGACATGGATCCAATAATCATAAGATGAGATTTAGTTTGATATGGCGTCGGTTCAAAACCATTTTTTTATGTGTAATGAATTTGTACGACAAATCCATGTAAAGTGAAGATGAACCTGATTATCCATTTTGATTCTTTAGAAAAATACAATTGTTTAAGCCTTTAAGCGATAAACTAACTATACACTCACTCGATTGGTTTAACGAGTTCTACTTTTTATCACTTTTAATAAGGGGCTTCACTGAACTGAAGCTGGTTGCTAAGGGCCGGGCTTCAGTTCAGGGGAGGACGTGTTGGAAGAAATCCTGATTATTGTCGGATTCCTTGTTGCATCAGGTTTGGGAAAAAAAGGAGCCAAATTTGAAAGTTGTCTACTCCTGGAGAATGCGGCGTCGTTTTAGCTTAAGTTGAATAAGCATGCGGCGTTATGCAGTATTGTAGAGTCAGTCCCTATTTCTCATTTTGTTACATTTTAGTTCTTGAGTAGTGGGTTAGATTGGTTGAGCATTTTCAGCTCAATTGGTTTGTTAGTTAGCTGTGTTATTGCATCTATAGTGTTCTTCATAAACACCCTTAATGATATATTAAAAAAAAAGAAATAAAAAAAACAACTCATCACATAAGTTGATTATCTTACGTAATTGGTAAGTTTAAGCAACATCCTTGTACATTCTCTAGGGATGAGATAGCATGCCTACCCATAAAAGGGTTGGAAAAATGACACCCCCTATTAATTATAAGTTTTTAAGGTAATTAATTTGTGTTGCATTTAATAATCTGTATGAATTAAAAACACATATTAATTATTTTCTTTTTTTCAGTGCACTGGTAGTTGTATCAGTGCACTGGTAGTTGTGTACAGGTGCAATGGTAGTTCCAAAAAAATAACGTAATTAATACGAGTTCATTATACAGGTGCAATGGTAGTTGTATCAGTACAATGGTAGTTAAAAAAAAGGAATGTAATTAAGATGAGTTTTTAATTTCCAAATATTATTAAATGCAACAAGAATTTAATATAAAAAATAACTATAATTAATAGGGGTGTCATTTTTCCAACCCCTTAGAAGGGTTAGCATGCTAACCGATCCCCATTCTCTATCGTCCAATTCGCTATCAAACAATAGTGGTACTGTGGTACTCTCGTATATGTTTGCATCCCTTACAAAATTAACCGTTAAAAAACTGATAAATACTGCCCAATCAACATTAAACAGCCAAGGCAAATTAAATAGCGGTTTAGGATCCACGTTTGACTTCATCAAGTTGCATCAAGGTATCATGGTATTTTGGCTCCAGCTTACCTTTCCTCAGACAGATAAAAGTAGGAGCAGTTAGGGCCGGAATCTCTGTCCCACAAGACGGATCAGGTTAGTAACCTTATAGTGAGTAATTATGAGTAACACGCCCATGTCAGCATGATACGGTATCCTCTCTTTCCTGAAAAACCTTTAATTTTCCCTTTTTAATATTTGACGGACGATTTCTCACTCGTTTTAAGTCGAAATTTAATTTTTTTTGCACAGTTAGATCAGATTAATTGTGCTCTTCAAAATGATATCCACTTTGATATATTTTTCGAACAAAAAAAATTGAGCAATTTTTACCAGTATATACCATATGGTATTGACTGGTATTGAAATAAGAGCATACCTATGGTTTGAAAAGCGTACCATGGTGGTATGACACAAACCAAAACTGTAGGATGGTTGAATACATGATAGTAGAAGTATATTAATTGTCATTTACGCCTTTTAACATTGTATACCATAAGATACCATAAGATACCACCCCCGTACCAGGGTGGTATTGTATGGTATTGTGTGGTATTTTTTTGTCTTGTAATTTGTTCACCCAGAAATTTGTAGATCCAATAGATCATGATGAACTCGTCCCTGCTGTGCAAACGTTTTCAAAAACGAAGAAGATACCATATGGTATGCAGTTGGTACCGAGAGGCCAGAATTTTTTTTCCTAAAAAAATATTGAAAATTGATCTCATTTTGTAGAGCACGATGAACTCGTTCCATCTGTGTAAAAAAAATTAAAATTCGAGTTAAAACGAAAAAATATGAGTCAATTAAGAAAGCTAATGAGAATAAAAATTGTCTTTAATTCTCCATCTTTAGATTTGGATTTTCTAAATGAAGATTTCAGATTTGATTATTGATGAGTGCATGGGTTATGCAACTTAACTTGTGCCCACAAGGTTTACCAGCGTTCTCTTCTGTTTTCAAACTTCAAATTATTGAAGAGTTAGTTCCTATTAATTGTTGTTTGTAGAAAGATTAGTTGAGTGGTTACATCGACATAATTCCAGATTTGGCTGCTACCCACCTTCCACATAATAGAAGATAGAAGTTATGATTGTCCTCTTCCATTTAATTTCTATATATATTTAAATTGAAGAAAGGAAATAACATATATTTTTATAAATTAAATTTATTTCTATATAATTGATTGTAACATGATCGAGGGCTATGATCATTGAACGGTTAATAATTTCGATTAGGATGATACCATTACCAAGGTTCCATGCATAGGTTTTTTTTTATAATAAAAGTAACATATATTTGTTTTTATTGTTAACTATTATAATTTATAACATATGACCTCCAAATTTAATACGAGTGGTAGTATCACCAAATCTTTATTCTTCTCTTTAACTTAAAAAATGTCAATATAAGTCGATAAATTATATACGAATCATAGAAATCAATAACGTGACGACTTGAGGGTGAGTCATGGTTTCGGCATGCAAAATAATCTGCTACAAATTACTCTCAGTTGGTACGTAATGCATAAATGTGTGGAACTTTCTAATGAAACATCTCACGAATTATCGTGTTAGGTATATATAGATTTGCCTTTTAGACGATGATTGAATCAACCACAATATCTGTCCCTAGAACTACTTTCCCTCTACACAAACACAACTCTCAACTCGTGTAAAATCGATCCAAAATTTTTCCTTCTCCTTTTCATTTCTATTTTATTAATTTGGAGTAACATGGCAAAGGAAATGACAGAATAGGAGGTGGGAGGAGCATCAACATCGTCATCAAAAGCTTACAATTATTGCAATGCAAGCACATTAACTAACAAAAAATATATATATAGTTTATAGTTTTTGCTATTTTCACGAGAATAATTTTTTTTAAAGGAATTTTCACGAGAATAATCGAGACATATATCTATAGATATCCATATATATTTTGTTGTTTTCCTTATCCCATGTTCCACAACATCCTTATTTGTTGTCCTGTCTATTCCACCCAAAAAAAAATCATGAACCATTATGGATTTTTCTTAGGCCCATGGCCCCAACAGGAAGGATTGAAATACCATCACTGGCGGATCCAGGGGTGGCCACCCCGGGCCCCGGCCCAGCCCTCCTCTGGATCCGGAGTTAGTATAGTCTTTATGAATTTTTCGATTTTAGTTATTTGACCCAGTGTTATTTTACAACAAAATTGGGTGTAACTAGAAAAATGATTCAAATTAACATATTAAAATCACTACTATAATTTAGCCTAGAAATTCTACCTCCAAAGATTATTCTTCTAAAAAAACAATGAAATCTAAAAGTCTGAAAGTCTAAACGTAAAAGACTATAAGAAATATGAGTTTTATTCCCTGAAAATTTACTAAAGCAGCTAGTGGATATAGGTATGGACACACAATGCACGATTGATTTGTCTAGCGTTGACGCTGATCGTATCACCAATTACTACGGGGAGAACCTTTTCAACAATGAATTACTCGCCGATTGCTCAAGTATTTTATTTAAAACAATCTATACTATTGGTATGGATGTAGACTCCATTATTGATGTATTCGCTAAATTAAAATACCATCGTGTACAATTTATATTGTAAAAAGACTATAATATTTTTTTACGGTTCTAATTTTCTAATGAAATGCGGCCCAGTGCTCTTCTGTTTTCTGGATCCGCCGCTGAATACCATACTGGAGGTTATATTGAAAAAGTCAACGGCAAAGTATTTTATATTGTAACGGTGATTCAACCGTTTCATACGGCTAAATACCGCCTACCGATTTTGCTTCAAGTAGGAGGTTTTTCTGATCGAACCACCAGTATGGTACGGTTTCTCAATCCTTGCTAAATAAATAGACATACATGTTCTCTTGTTAGTGGCCTTATTAGTTCTTGTCATGCATTATTGAACCTTGATAGAAGTCCCTATTATCACATTTATGCATGCCCTGCTGTCGCTGGTCCACTTACACGTACTTACCCTCCGGCAGGACAACCGGCGCAATTGCCACGACTTTCTGTTTCCGGAAGGAAGAAATATGTGGAGACAGTTAGGTTGGAACTTTTACCTTTGCGACAAAAAAAGGTCTCATCAGAAAGTTGTTGGTTATTAGGTCTGAGATTCATATCATCCAAGCTAGCTAATTATGGTGCTCATGGTAATTAAACCTCACTTTGGATTCAAGAGAAGAGCCGTTAGTTTGGTATTGGAGACGATGGAGCTTGGAGTCTTCAATCATTACTAGTTTAAATTTACCAAATTATACTAATATTCAATTAAATCACTATTAGAAATTTTAAAATACCTATACCACCTGCCAAAATCACTGCTAATTTAAGTAGTATTATTTTTTCAATAGTTATTTTTTTTTCATGTAGTACATCTCTATTGGAGTTAGAAGAAAGATATTTCAAAATTTTAATGTATTAATTAAATTTAATTACCTGAAATACATTCTCAATTTTTTTTCCTCCTCATATGTAATGGAAAAATTCTTAGCTCCAACCGGCTACATGTCAGTTTCCTATTCGCGAGTTTATCTTCCTTTTTCTGTATTTTAATTTTTAATTTATTTAGCATAATTAAGAACATTAAATATTAAGATAAAGTGAATGTGAGTCCACCAATAACAAACTGACATGCGGATAGTTGGAGCTTCTGCGTCCAACCATGTTTTGGAGCTAAGAATTTTCCTATGTAACATGCCCTTTACTACACTTCACCATCATATTCAATATAATAAAAAAAAATGGATCGTGATTAGAGAAATTAGGATGTTATTAAGTACTAACCCCTATGAAGTTAACCCTCTAACTTCTCCCATATTCCACCCAACATTTTAATGACTTGTTAATTAATAGTAATTATCTATAATACAATCTGAATCCGATTTGATTTGATTTAAATTAGTTAAATAATGAATACTCTTTGGGCAAGGATAATGATTCCAAAATCCAAATCCAATTCTCAGCGGGCCAGAGAGGCGGGCCGGGGCCCAGGGCAGGTACTAGAAGTAGAAGCTAAACACCAAAACACACCTCTCTCTCTCACTCACTCACCGTTACAGCATCATACAGTTGGCGCCAAGTGGTAGGCCCCACCTCCTCGCCCCGCTTTCTCGCAATTGGCAGTTACCTTTCCCCAAATTCAAAAAAACAAAAAATCCCTCCTCCCTTTTCCCAAAATTAAAATATCAATAATAAATAATAAATCAGAATAACAATTTTTCAAAAAAAGGAAGGAAAAAAAAAAACAGAAAAGACAGATAAGTAAAGAAACGGCTGTTTGTTTCCCCGTCAAACGAGTCGTCGAAAAATACATAAATTAGAGGGAAAAGGAAAAAAGAGAAGAAAAAGAAAGTAAAGGAGAAATCCGGTGTTTCTCTATCTTCTCTCCCACTTTTTTAGATTTTGAATCTCCTTTTCGTTCTTCCCCCATCCATCCTTCCTTCCCTTTCCCTGCCTCTGTTCTGAGGTTATCGAATCGAGAGACAGAGAGAGAGGGTTGGATCGGGGTTCGGCTCGGCTCTTCTTCTGCGATCTTCAGGACTAGAAAGAAAAAAAAAGAAGCGAAAATGAGAGAGGTGATCAGCCTTCATATTGGACAAGCTGGGATTCAGGTCGGGAATTCATGCTGGGAGCTTTACTGCCTTGAACATGGCATTCAACCTGATGGCACCATGCCCAGGTACCCATACCCGTTTCACGTCTTTTTTTCTTCTTCGGTAGCTTTTCTTTTGAAAATCACATGGGTTCTGCGATGCTCTCTACCTGTTTGTTTATATGTCTCAAAGAAGAAGAATTCTCTTCTGTCAATTTTATTCCCTCTTCGGCTTTGGCTTATCACATTTCCTTTGCTGGGTTGGAATCTCGGAGCTGATTGCTTGCTTGCTTTCGGTTATGGTTTCCCTTCTGGGTTCATGGGTTTCCCCTGTTAATCCTCTTGTACGTTTGGTGCTTATTAGGGTAGAATTGCAGTTTTGCCGGCGACTCAAGGCTGGTTTTTTACTAGAACTTAAATGAACCGTTAGGATATCGACATCATTTCAGGATCTATGTCTCCTGTAAGCTATTGCGTAGTTAAGTTAACCGATTTGTTTTGCCTGGCTTAAAATTCTTTTGCAGTGACACATCGATCGGGAGTGAGCATGATTCCTTCAACACATTCTTCAGCGAGACTGGTTCTGGGAAACACGTCCCGAGAGCTGTCTTCGTTGATCTGGAGCCCACCGTCATTGATGAAGTGAGAACAGGGAGTTATAGGCAACTTTTCCACCCTGAACAGCTTATATCCGGCAAGGAAGATGCAGCCAATAACTTCGCCAGAGGACATTACACTGGTAAATGAAGTAGCGAATTCACATTTTGTAAATTAAACACAGGGATGGCTTAGTACCTGAGTAACTATGCATTTTCTCTTTTCTTTTCACTGACAATAAAATTACTGCTTTGCTGTTGAAATGCTGCAGTGGGGAGGGAAATCGTCGATCTGTGCCTTGATCGAATTAGGAAATTGGCAGATAACTGCACCGGCTTACAAGGATTTTTGGTATTTAATGCTGTTGGTGGCGGCACTGGTTCTGGTTTAGGCTCGTTGTTGTTGGAGCGCTTGTCAGTGGATTATGGAAAGAAATCTAAACTCGGCTTCACCATCTTTCCTTCACCTCAGGTACAGATACTACAGCAAAGTCATACGGGTCATAGCCTTTTGAAAGCTAAAATCTTTCTGAATGTCAATTGAGTTAGTGCCTGTTTACAACTGATGCAGGTTTCAACAGCTGTCGTTGAACCTTACAACAGTGTGCTCTCCACTCATTCTCTCCTCGAGCACACAGATGTAGCTGTGCTTCTGGATAATGAAGCCATCTATGACATCTGTAGGAGATCTTTGGACATTGAGAGGCCGTCTTATACCAACTTGAACCGCCTGATATCCCAGATCATCTCTTCCTTGACCACTTCCTTGAGGTTCGACGGCGCCATTAATGTGGACATTACAGAGTTCCAAACCAATCTTGTGCCTTATCCTCGCATCCACTTCATGTTGTCATCATATGCCCCTGTAATCTCAGCTGCAAAGGCTTTCCATGAGCAGCTATCTGTTCCTGAGATCACTACTGCAGTGTTTGAGCCTTCAAGCATGATGGCCAAATGTGACCCAAGGCACGGCAAATACATGGCTTGTTGTCTTATGTACCGTGGGGATGTTGTGCCAAAGGATGTTAATGCTGCAGTTGCCACGATCAAGACCAAGAGGACTGTTCAATTTGTTGACTGGTGAGCACATTTCCCATTGCCAAAGCTTGGTCTTTCACCCTACTGAAGTCCTGACGTCCTATATTAATTATTCATGCAGGTGCCCAACTGGTTTCAAGTGTGGCATCAATTATCAACCACCAACCGTGGTTCCCGGAGGTGATCTGGCCAAGGTGCAGCGTGCTGTCTGCATGATAAGCAACAACACAGCTGTGGCTGAAGTCTTTGGCAGAATTGACCACAAGTTTGACCTCATGTATGCCAAGAGAGCTTTCGTTCACTGGTATGTCGGTGAAGGCATGGAGGAAGGAGAATTCTCAGAAGCTCGTGAAGATCTTGCAGCACTCGAGAAAGACTACGAGGAAGTTGGCGCAGAAGGTGCTGATGATGAAGAAGAAGGTGACGAGTACTGAAAAAAAAAAACTGTCCTAGAGGGGCATATTACATAACTAATGTTTGACGCCCTCCCATTTTATCTCTCATTTGTTTTCTCCCGCTCTGTATTTCATATGATTTCAAGTGCTGCTACTCCTACTTGTAATTCTACTATGCTCTGTTAATGTCTTTTGATCTTTTAAAGTCTCCGCCTCTATCATTCTGTTTCCTTGCCTTGTGCTTATGCTGGTTTTTGAAGTAGAGCTTTGAAAAATGTATCATCCTTTGTTGATTTGAGAAGAGCCAATAAATATCACTTCTTATCTGGGCTCTCCTAGAGCGTCATGCTTCTCCATCCTGCAGCGATTTGAACAAAAACACGGTAGGCTACATATGTTCATCGTCGGAGTTTCATTTGGAGAAGAGCACAAGGCAACTTATTAGTGAACATCTCTACTGATGTTGCTAGCAAACTACCCTTTAATAGGAACTGCATTATATTGGGAATGTACAATGTTGATTATGTATATGCAGGGGAGGAGCATACAAGAAAACCCAAAAAATTAATAAGTATTTCATCAAATTGCCTCTTGTCCCTCGAATTTGCCATCTGGGTTTTGGTGGTTTATGTATAATTGTGACTTCTGAATAAACAAAATTGCTAAGTTTGTCTCTTTTCCCTCCACCCTCCATCCTTTTATTAGCACTTCACCAGCAACATTGCTTCCACTCTCGCCTTTGTTGTTTGGAATGACTTGGTCAACCTCAATTGATTGGCTGGTGGATCAGTTGTTGTTATCACTAACAACCATTTACTCTGCTCCAAATGCTAACCGCCTAACAGTTAACACTGCAATTACTGTCTCAGAAGTCTTCATTATATATTAAGCCAGGGAGAAAATAGAAAGGGGACCAATATGAAAAGGGACCAAAAAAATCTGTGGCAGTTCACATTGCTCAAGCTTGTATTGTTGGTGGTTCAACATGGTGTCTCGCTGCGAGGGATCTTCTTGCCATGGCGGAGGTGGGTCACGATGCAAGGGTAAGGTTTTTGTGTAGGGGAAAAAGAGAGCTTGTAGTGCTGATATGTGAAGAGAGCAGGTGCTCATAAAAACCAGAGAGCCTAACAATCTCAAACTCTTATAAAGATCACTGTCAAAGCCCTGTCATTAAGCTAAAAACTTCACAAATAAGTTAAGGGGGTTTTGCCAACTGTTATATATAATCATTATTGTAAGGGGAATTTTGCCTTGTAGACAAAGACTAACTAAGGCTAATTGCTTTTGCTTTCATTGAAGATTAAAAAAAAGGGGAATCTGTCCCTTCTTTCACCATTTTCCTCACTGAATTGCAGCAGCTTCAGAAACTCTTTAACTACTTTGTCAAAAAATGGTCTTCTTATAATCAAGAATAATGTGAACGATTTTGATGGCTTAGAATTCCCATTTAATCAGAACATACAATTTGGACAAGGACTTTGTATTAAACACCAGATTGTGCAGCATGGTGCTCACATTAGGTAGCTCTTTGCTGTCTACAATTTCTTGATAAACAGCAGCAGAAAAGACAAGTTAAAGAAGGAGAGGAGAAAAACAAGAGATTCAAACTCCATCTCTCTTAGAGAGCTCTCTCTTTGGGGTCACACTCTCAATTCTGGAACGAGAAAAAAGAACAGAAAGTTTGGGCCTTTTTTTTTTGTTGCTTTTGAAGATGAATAATGAAGGGAAAACTCAGCAGAACAATGGGGGGAGATCCCATAAACCATCACTTGGGTCTCTCATGGTTTCCATGTACTCATGAACACCACTAATTGCATATAAAGAGGCTGAGATCTGTCTTTCCACTTTCATCCGATCGAATTCGGAGAATTGCAGTTGCTCATGATCACTTGTCCCAAATGCAGTTGTTGTACTGCTGTAGTTCTGGTTCCTGGGGAACTCCAGATCAATTTCACTGGAAGCTTCAAATTGAAACCTACTCTGATCATATCCATTGTGATTATCAAGGCCAAAGCTCCATGGCATGAGATCAGAAGGAGGAGAAGTCAAATCAAGCTGCAATCCCCCATTGCAGGTGCTCAAATCGGGCTTGTACACATCATCAAACAGCCTCGTATCAGGAAGCACTACCTCGCTACAGCTCGAATTGTCATCGCTTATGCTACAGCTGCTGCTTGTTGTTATGCTGCTGGTGCTGCAGCTAGGGCTAATGCTAGTATGGACTTGTGGTGGTGGTGGTGGAAGTGGTGGAAGTGGTGGTAAGAGTTTGGTTGTGGCGGGTAATTGAGCAAGAAGAGGACTTTCTTGAGCCTGAAGTTTCTTGGATTTCTTCTTTTCCAGCAGGTTTCGAATCCTGGAAGCGAGTGGGGAGTCAAAGGAGACATGAGTGATGAAGTTAGTACGAGTATTCGAGCCACGAAGAAGGGTGGCAGCTTCGTCGTAAGCTCTTGCAGCTTCTTCAGCAGTCTCGAATGTGCCTAGCCACATCCTGATCTTCTTGGTTGTGTCCTTTATCTCAGCTACCCATCTCCCTGATGGCCTCTGCCTAACTCCAACGAACTTGCTGCTGTTACTGCTACTGGTGTTGCAGTTCATGACTCTGCTTCTTCCCCTGCCTTTGCTTGTTTTGCTCATCAAAGGAACATTCGTAGTACCATTGTGCTGGAAATGAATCTCCATGTTCTTTAAGGGTTTTTCAAGATGGGAAAGATTTTGAAGTGGGGAATGAAGGGAGAGATGAAACAAGTGTGAAAGGTGGAATCTTTTGGTTGAGCAGTCTTTGAGAGTGTGTTTTGAACAACTGATTGTTGGGTTTCTGGTTATGAACATATTGGGTTAAGTGTGTGTTTATATATATATATATGTGAGGGACAGGACAACTTGGAGAGGGTCTTGTCTGAATTTTTTTAATGATTGGCAAGTTGAGGGGGGCTAGCTAATACCACAAGCATGATTTCAGTTTTGTTTATTTCTGTTTGGATATTGGGAGCTCTTGATGAAGGGATATCTAGGAGAGACTAAGTACCAATCAATCACAACATTAATTCTTTCTCCATCTTTTGCTTGACTCACTGCTCAAATTACTGGTTTATCCCTCACAAGCATTGGTTTTTGTTACCATCCATTTGCAAATTTCTAGTCAAATTTCTCAATGCTATAGTCCATAGAGGAGGGAACAAGGCAGCATTCTCAAGAATATCTTAAACACAAACCCCATAGAAATTGCTTCACTTTTCACAATGTTAAAGATTGCTAGATGTCATGTCAGAAATGGAAGAAATTACTGAAAAGTTATTTAGAGGTGAATCAGTGAAGATCTAATAAATAAAGAAAATAAGAGTGTTGAGGAAACTAGTTCGAAAACAAACGAACCAAAAAATTAGGTGACCAGATGCCAGACGAGACCTCCCAAGAATGAGAGAAAAATAAAAGATCATACATACCAAGCTTCCATCTAACTTAAACTCATTAATGGCCACTAAGGAACACTTCAGATATGACCAGAAACCAGAAATCTTCCATAAAGCTTCTACGATCACGAGCAATTTATGTATCTCATTAATAATTATGCTTCATTTTGAGCTATGAACATTTCCTTTTTCTGTAAAGAAATCGATCACGAGCAATCTATCTATCTCTTTGATACTTATGCTTCATTGTAAGCTACAGACATTTCCTTTTTTCTCTAAAAAAATCACTCCTATTCCTTTACGTCTATTTATCACCTGATAAATTAGTTTCATTTGATTGTTTTGCTTTGCCTACACAAGTCACAAGTCACAACTAGGTTTTGGTAAAAGAAGGAACATGTCAAAATGTCAAATAGAGGTGGTGAGGCCATGAGGGACAAGGACTTGATGGTCATTAATCTTACAGACAAAGGCTAAACTAGAATTGGGTCAGATTCAAGTTTACTAATCCCTTTCCTTAACTCTGTGATTGATATGCTAGGTCAAGTTCATGACATTGAAAGAGAGTCAGTAAACTCACCTAAGGCTGCCACTTGGAGGCACCACAATAATCACCAAGGGAAACCCCCAAACCACAAAAGTCCAACCCACTTAAAGCTAAGCATGAGCAGGGAAAATGATGAAGAGTTACATTAATGGACCAAGTCAAAGCACCCCAATTGGGCTGCAAAATATCAAAACACTCCCCCAACAATCTCATTTGTGCTAAACTAGTGCCTTGGAGTTGGAGATAACTTAAACATAGCTAGTTTGGCTGTCTTAATCACTTGCTCACATCACCACCATCGTCAGCCCAAAAAGTTAATTTTGTTGCTTTGTTCTCTAAATCAGTGAGACTACTAATAAACAAGGTTAGGTATTGATATGAAATCATCAAAGGGGGACAACCACCCACCCTCAAAAAGTAATGATGTCACTTATAATTTAAAAAAAAAAAAAAATTTCTTTTGTGGGATGATTGATTTTATATTTGGAAGACTTGTTTAGTTCTAGAATCTCCAGAAATAAAAGAGTTAGTTCTCTACTTCACTACATGATCGTGCAGATGTAACTTATAAGAGCGCAATGATAAAACAAGAATGTGATTTTGAATCTATTTTAGATGAAGAGAATCTTAATATTGAAATTCGATGAGTCAGATTAACTTGAAGATATGACATGTGAAACTCATTTAGCGAGGTTTGTCTGGAGAGGATGGCATTCCTCGAATCCAAAGTAACTAACTCATCCTTAGTTCCAGTACAATTGTAGATGAGCAGAACAAAGTGTCTACCCTTTTGTCATAAATTTGTCCATTAGTACCAAAGATAATGACTCTACATATATACTATATGATTTTTTTTATGCTGCAAATATATACTACATGATAAGAATTCACGAATTGATCCGGTAAATTTTCAACCAAAATTCACTAGAGAAAAGAGAAACCCAAGTATTAAAGAGTTTTGGGTTGCATACTCCGCCATAAAGTATTGGCATTGACTATTTAGAGGTCCAATAATTCTTTGTATTATTTCATATATTTGAGAGAGGGGTTTGGTTTATGTTAATGTAGGAATATTGTACACACATAAGACAAGGGAGCTCTTTTTTGGCAATGATGCCATAATGAAAAGGTTGGGACATAGTTGGGATGTGGATTGATTGTTTAGGCACTGTTTGTTAAGGACGATTACACAATATGATTCCATTTTCTTTTTTTACTTCCCCTAAAAACTATGCTTATTAATTTCTTGTCCCCATATTTGACTATGATTTAGGGATCAACTAACCCAACCTAAAGGGGAGCCGAGGGAATATACATGGCAGTAGATACCCTCATGCTATGTTCTTATACTAACAAATGATTCCAGTTTGGCACTTTGCAAAAAACATGAGTTTGAACCTGTCCTACAACTTGTAGGAAAGTTTTCCAAAAATGCTTAATCCATCTCAACTTTAGGTCATAAGGGTAAAATGACAAATGGAATGTGCCAAATGTGATTGGAGAAATCGTTAAGGGAAATGAATAAGTTGTTGGTACTTTCCTTTGAGTGCAACAAAATACGAAAAACTAACTTTGTAAGTTAATGATGGTTAGGATCCAACAATTTATGGAATATCACATTGAAGAGCGAGATGTTTGTGATTGATGGATCAAATTGCATATCAAGATTCTCGATGGATTTAATTGGATGCGGATTAGATAATTTTCCTGTTATGCATACAAGGTTTCCTCTTGGATATAGGTTAAGCATTTCTCTTGGTTGGGATTCAAAATCGTTCATGGCAAGTATACAACATAGATTGGCGACTTTGAATGCTATATATTTTTCAGTTGGGGGAAGTATGATTGATTTTTTCCTCATGAAATGTCAAGAAATGATAGATACAATTTCTTACCCGAAAAATCGCAACCAATACAAAAATTTCAATCAAACTACAAAATCAAAAGATGCTAACTTTTCACATCAACATAGTTTTCCCACTGAACTATGTGCAACCAATTCACGACACAAGAAACCTGTTTCGTAGTATTTTAGGTGCAAACAAAACCGTTTTTTTTTTTGTGTGTGTGGAGAGAACAAGAAACCACTCTAAAAATCCCGCAAAAGAATAGAACAAATGCGTTGGCACTCATCGGAAATAGGGATGGCAACATAACCTGAACCCACGGGTACCCTACCCAACCCAACCCGGTCAACACGGATAAAACCCGCATTGATGGATTATGGGCCGTGTTCGGGTTTAAATCTGTTTACTATTTTGAGGATTGAGTTGGATTTAGGTTTAGCTATATCCAACCCGCTACAACCCGTACCCGTCCCCAACCATGAATCCCTTACCCACTTTCCATTTGGCCATTCCCGCATACTAATTCCTAACCCCAATTCCAGAAGAAAAAGAAACGACCCCCCACCCCTACAGCCACTCGACCTCGTTGCCACCATTAATGATGACCAAGATCCAGATTCTACTTTATGTGGTACCGATATATCTAATGTTCTAAATATATATATATCTTCTCTAAGCAACTAATCTTCCTTATGTTTGTGGAGACATGTCTAATTTGTTCTTCCTAATTGTGTACAATAAAGTTGATATTACAGAGTATAGAGTGAAGAAGTTTAGTTGACAAGGAGGAAGAAGTTTTCAATTAATCGTGTTGTTTATGGATGTTTATCTTTAATGTTGAGCAATTTGTATGGATACTTTATGGTTTGCTCGTATGCTCTAGATTGGTATTTTTTGTTTAGATAATTTGTATGGGAAGAATGATGTTAGACTCTCATTTTGACAGAAACTGGTTATTGTGCATTTTTTAGTACAGAACCCATGTGAATCAATAAACCCGCGGATATCCAACGAGTTTGGTTGGGTTTGAATTTTTCAAATCCATTAGATTTTACCCCGAATTGTTTTGATGGATATACTTATTGGTTTGGATTTAGTAAAACCCAATCCAACTCGACCCATTGTCACCCCTAATGGAGAAGAGGACCCGGGAACGTATGACTTTAACGATGGCTTCTACGGAAACAAGGTGCCTGCAACTTATATTTCTTATTTAATTAAGAACATAAAATGCTTATTACCATTGATGCTTTGGAAAATCAAATAGTTATTTGTAGGAGGAATCATATTTGTGATAGAGTTGGAGATGCATAAGACAAGGGTGCTCTTTTGGCTATGACGATTTGATGGCTACAGGGTGGGATGTTGATTGATTGTTAAATTACTGTTCCATAACGATCATTTTTCATTCGATATCATTATTTGTTTGAAACTTGCAAGAAACTGCCGCCATAATTGACAATCCGATCCATTATTGATCAACTAATCCACCAAAGGAGCTAATCAAGGGGAATATGTTACGCACTAAAGTTTTGTTATTGGGGTCTTCACTGTTCTTCATCTACACAAAGCATTCTAGTTTTGCAGTTGGCACAATAGGGAATCAACACAAGTGAGTCGATCAGTT